ATCTAATTTTCAAATTCAAGGACTGACTGTGTGGCCTCGCCTTGTCTCCCTAGCGCAATTAAAACACGAGTTGGAAACTGGTATGTCCCAGATGTTTAAGCGACTAATTTTCTTTCTTTTCTTTCTTCTCGTTTATTTTTCACTTGTATTCCTTCATGCCAGTTAGAAGCCGTCAATTATCTTTCGTTAGTGAAATGTTCATTGACTCTGTTTTAGGGAACGCATGGTTTGCTTTATAGTTACGTTGATCATCGTTCAATATACTTCAGAATCGTCCGAAGTGCTTTTCGACCCTCTATTCAGAGAAACTTCCTCTTAACTGAATAGCGTCACAGGATGCAATGAATTCTCTGGTGTCTTCTCATCCTTTTTTCATCAATCAATCAAAACCAATCAATCTTTTATTCAACCCTATTGCAGTAACAACTGAATCACAGGGGGCGGTCGCGACATACATTTTGAAATTTGACAGTTACAAAATCATTAAATCTTTTACATTTTCCAGTAGAGGCCTGATACGATTGTGAGCCTGAGCGTAAATTATAACCGTGGTAATGAACCAGCAGAACCCGGAAGAGACTACTAAGTGTTCCTGACACATGAGAGGAATTAGCAAAATTCACGCAAGTTTGTTGCCGCCTATCGCTAAGAAGTTCATTGACCCTTTGCCTGCCTGGATCTGGAGTGACCATAAAGCAATTTCTCCTCACATTACATTTTCAAGCCGTGAAGACAGAAAATGATCAATTAGATGATAATATTAGATTTATTGCCAAATTTCCAGGGCTCAAATTATGGGAAGTGCAGGGAATTGATATTTAAATCTAAGGAGTGAACGTTCCAAGCCTCTTCGCACACCAGAGTCACGTCCCTATGTTTATCTTGAAGAACTTAAGAATTAATGCTTTTTCTGTTGATGTACTCAGGATATAAATTAACAGCAAAATTTTCAAATCAGTCAAATTGTTCTAATAGGTTTCACAAAACACTTTTAAGTCCCACTTAGTTTTACTCACATGATAGATTTGGATTGTATCCTTTTCAATCAAAGGAACTCTTTTTATTTCCCTGCTAGTTACCTGTCACGTTATGGATCAGTGCCTGAAGCAAAGTTATAACGACGATTTTGATTGGTCATTTGGAATAAGCTGTACTGAGACTTATCACACTGGTCCATGCGGTGAACACGTGCTTAGCGGTGAAGGTATGTTTTCAATTCCTTTATCGTACAAATCGTAAAGACAGTTCTTTTTCTGATCTTTTTTGTGCAAACGGCGATTTTGAACACCACGAGCGCCTGGGGTACAGTGAAGAACACAGGAATTTAATTGAAACTTACTCACTCCCCTCAAAGTCGAGAATTCGTTGAAGCAATATTTGCGAGACCCAGGCTTTTCTATGGAAATAACATAGGTTGCTCCTGATTGGTTGTTAGGAAGTCATTCTTACAAAAAAAAACCCTTTAACTTTAAAGACTGTCTACCTGTTGGCTAATACTCTGTTTGTGCTATTCAGTTCGGCGTTCATTCAGCAACGCAGCTTTCAATAGAAAAACAGAGCAATATGATAGAACCAGCTTCTCTCGAATGGTAGTGGATGGGGACTTTAACTCGCGGAGTGAACTGGGGCAAGTCGAAGAGACATGGTGGATGGTAGACCTCGGGCGTGAGGGTCTGGTAACAGGCGTAAGACTCGTATTCAAGCTAGCAAGCAATGGGAATAACACAGCGTCGAGACTTGACATTATAATTGTGCACGAGACTGGAAAGATTGAGCAGTCATTGTGCGAAGCTGTTAACAAGAGTGACATCATTGCAAACGAGGTTGCTTACAAGGTGACGTCCTGTGGCAAGCCGTTACTAGGAAGATTTGTTAAGGTGGAGGTAACAATGGAAGTCCACGTGAAATGTAAAAAGTTAACAACGTGTCCACCCTCTCCAGTAATGAACCTTTATGAGGTGGAAGTTTTGATGGGTAAGGAAATAGGCTCATTTAGGGAAGTATTTTTTAATTTGTAAGTCACGCAGACGACCAAACTACGTTTAGTTTTAATCTTCAGTCCTTGAGGTGAGTCAAAATGGTTTTCCCTAGTTTTATAAATCAATTCTTTAATAAACTGTATTTTCTAAAGGTTTCTGATTTGTCTTCTTGAAATAATATACTAAAAAAATTCCATTATTTCGGAGTAATTTGTAATTTTTTCGCCAAACTGAAGTTATCACAGCAATATTTTAGCTCCTTTTAATAACCCTGTTAGACTTTATGATCCCCGTTTTTGTCATTGAATCAGCAGATCAGAATTTAACTGTCTGTAAAGTTTCTTTTCTTATTAGCATTGTAATATTACAACTATCTTGCTTTTTTTTGATAACACAAGGGAAAAGTAATTGAGAATGTCGCGTGAGCTTCACCGTGCAAACTCCATATTTTTCCAACAGCACAATCTACTGGTTTTAATTATATAAATTCTGCGTCTCCTCGCGTTAAAGGAGAAAAGTCTCGATTGATGACACGGTATATTCTACCAAGATACAACTGTCTAGCATTCTCGTACCATATGCAAGGAAGTCACATGGGCAGGTTGAATGTATATTTCAAGTGTTACATGAGTCCTGAGATTCTTTTGTGGAGACTATATCAGGGGAAGTCCAATAACTGGCATCATGGAGAAATCCCGATTCAAACCAACGTCACCTTTCAGGTTGGGCGCTTCAGTTAAAAAATTATTTTTATACGTATAGTTTAATTGGGACTTATGTATATGATAATAGCTTTTTATAAAACCTTATCATTGAGCAGCTTCATAGAGAGCTGTTAATGTGGTACAGGTCCGTGATGTACATTGGATCGCTTAGCCTGCAGCACAGGCGTCTTGTTAGGGCGTTAGCGTCGTTTATTCAACCGGCCATGTTTGATTAGGTGTTAGAGTCGACGGTGGGGAGAGGGGGCGGGAAGGGGCGAAGAGACGGCGTGATCGGTAATCTCTCCCCCACCCTCACCCCCTCCTATTTTTTCATTGTCGCTTGCCACCTTGGTATCAATTTCTTCTCTCCCCTGCCTTCCTCTTCCATTAAAATCAAAGATGACAGCCATAATTTTTGTTAAGACAAAAAAATTACGCCTTCTTCTGTAGGCTAGGGTTGGCACGGCTGCCTAATAATAGGTCGATTGGGCGGCAGCCGGATCGAAACACCTGGGCTCCAGTAGGCAGAGTTAGACTAAACTGGGTTCTTTATGTTCTTTATCAGATCATATTTGAAGGAGTCGTTGGCAATGGAAATCAAGGCGACTTGGCTATCGATAATGTGATGTTTACAACAAATAGTAATTGTTCGATCATACCTGATGCTGCTAATCCGTCATCGGTACAAGGTAAGTACTGAAGTAATTACAGAAGGAATGAAGGTCACAGAACGTTGAGCTGCTCAGGAAACGTTAGGCTGAATTGAAGATGGTCCAGATCTTAGATCCTTAAAAAATGCAACCAGCCCAAATGGTTGAACTCCGTAGTATAGCTGGGAGAGAATTTTGTTTTGATTTGTTTTTATTCAAATTTTGGGTTGTTTGTTTTCCTTTTCATCATGATGGAGCTTTCTGTTTAAAATCAGAATACTGCTACAAAATTCAAACTCACTATACTTTCGCCAGGTTTCAGATCTGATATCATCGGTCACATCCCAGCATACCAGGCGCACCTTGAGAGCTGGCTAACGTCTGTTAATTTTCATGGAAAGCTCTGGAAGCCTTGCTACAGTACTGCTAAAGATGGATGGGACAGCGGTATTTTCCACGAGAAGTGCGATGGAAAGGGAGCCACGTTGACAATTGCCAGATTTAATAATACCATATTTGGAGGATTTTCAGACCACAGCTGGGGAGGTACTTATGGCAGAATTCATGCGAGAATGAGATGGGGGAAGGGGAGGGTGGGGAACTTAATAAACCTCCATACCACCTCTTTTTCTTGTGCCTATACAGAAGGTTTGGTAAAAATAACTCTTCTTGTGACCACATGCAATTAGGTCGTATCAGCAACCACAAGAACTGCACAGCAGTTGCGGAGAGACTAAGCTCTTTTCCTAGATTTTCGTGTAGCCATATGCTGACATACAATTTCACTTCCCTTTTCAGGCCACCCCGAAGGATACCGTATCAGTACAAAGTCATTTTTATTTCGTTTTGACAAAAAGATAGGCCAGCTATCTGAAGACCAAGTCCTGGGGATGAAACAAGTTCATAAATTAATTCAGTGGAAAGTGGACAAAGGACCAGTGTTTGGAGTGGAAGAGCTGGCCTTTTCATCGAACATGAAACAAGCTATAACCAGTAAACTGATGAATTACACTAATCCAGCAGCTTTGAACAATAATTATTCGTCCTTTGAGTACTTGCTGGTGGAAAGATACGTCTCTCTTCACGCCGTAGAGGTTTTAACAACAGGAGGTAAGTCCGAGTGTCCCATGTTATCTCCCTTATCCTGTCTACTTTTAAGACAAATGTAATAACTGCAATGGACGAAACCATTGGGATCCATAACTTAAACTTTTTTTGTAGAGATTTACAAAGACCACGATTTATCGTGCTAACGATACTGAGAATAGCAAACTGTACAGTATTTTTGTGATATGTTGCTTTAGCTCCGCTTCGAATTGAGCATGCTTGTGGACAAGTCGCCAATATAGAATTTTTGGCTCCAGACTCCGCCCGTTAAAAATAATTTATCTGAGCCAGAATCGCCTTTGTTTGGATGAGTTAAGGCCAGAATGACTGATAAGATTGACTGATCATAATCGAACATGGAACGAGATAATGAGAATATGAAGGATCTCATAACTTAGTTTAGCTCCTATGTAAACCTCTATTTGCCACCATGCGCAAAATAGGGCCATGCAGTGTTCATTTTCGCATCAAAATTATTCACGCTCATCGACTTAATTTTCTCGTTTCTTACCATCATCGCTCGACTTTGCCCCTTGTTGTATTGCTTCCTTATGTTTTGCTCTCTTCTTGAACTATATTTACTCTTCCTTGCAGATACACTTTGTCAGAGTCAATGTCCACTGTACCAGTACTGTGATGAAGTCAAGGGTTGGTGCAAGTGGGACTCCGCTTTCCAAAAAGCTCGCTTTTGTGGAATTGGTAAGATGAATTTCATGTTAACCACAAGGCAAATTCTAAATTCTCCTCAAAATGTAGTCACTCATAATCTTCAATAACAGGAACAAATCATCTTTAAATTTTTTTGTCCGAACTGCACAGTTGGGAGCGAGATTACAACGCTTTGAAATTGAGTGTCGTGGCATGCACACAACATTTGTTATTGCGGCAGCCAACCAGAGCGGAGATGAACTACCGGGAGTAAAAGTAGGAAAAGGAATACTGCTTGAAGCGGGGGGAAAGGCGGACGACAAGACATGATTAGTTAAAGCTTCCCATCGTTTGGTTGAGAATATGGGGCGCGTTTTCTAGTTCTACTAGTCACAGAGCAAAGTCAAGCAAAGCTTATCCAATTTCTACTATCAATCGATATTTATTGTTAATATAAAATCGCGGTAATTGGTGATTGCATTTGACTGATTGTCTCGCCATACTCTAAGCATTCTATAGGTAACCGAATTAAGAAGGGCTGGAGGAGGGACCAGGGACAAGATTTCAAGACAAAACTGAGGGCGTTTTCACATGATCAGTATCTGGCACTTCAAGATAACTAATAAAGGGTGTATTGGAAGGGGGTCGTAACGAATGTAACTCTTGCTGCGAGATATTCCAGCATGCGTCGTGTAACACTTGCCTCTATGCAACAGGTAACTGGACTTCCTACTGGCCCCTGGACAGTCACGTGAACATGGTCAACCTAGGTGGGGATGAGTGGGGAATGTTTGAGGGAGCTGTGAGTACTACACAAGGGGCCCGGCTGGGGGCTGTTCACACCAGTGGAGGAGGCGCAGGTGCAGTGATAACCCTGGGCGAAATCATCGACAAATGCTTAACTGAGCCCTCGTCATGTAAAAACAGCAACGGTTTTTCATTAACCCTGTGGTTAAGGCACAGTACAACCTACTTAAACCATAATACTGTGCAACAAAGATTGCTGACTATTGGAGACAATGAAAACATCGTATTCAAAATATTTCAATTGGCGGAGCAAACAGAAGAACATCTTGCTGTGGAATTATCTCTGTCGTCGAGAAATTGTCTTTACATCTTCCCCGTTCCAAAGTTTTTATGGTCTCTGTTCGCTTTCGTGTGGAACACCACGGATTTGAATATATACAGAGATGGTGTAAAGGTGGATAGATTCTTAGACACAAAGTGTGTAGCAATATCTGACTTTTCCTCCCAAAGGGCAGTGGTAAGTTTGCAAGGTGATGCAATGTTTGACGATTTGAGGATTTGGAGCAGAACACTCGAAGCAAAAGAGATCGAGGGAATGTTCACGTGTTTAGGAGGTATGTTGAGCTCCCTGGGGTTACTTGGGAAGGTTTATTTGTGGTTCGTATGGTTCACCAGGATCCCCCACATTGGACCCTGCTAATTAAGGAATCTCCTCTCAACATGATGCCCTATGTTAGAAAGAGTGAATTTCATCAGCCGGGTGTTTAAAAAAATGAGACGGACCTATTTCCTCATTTCTTGGACTCGGATCTGGAAACTGGACTGATACAGTCCTGGTAAAATGGATTCTTCTTTCTAGACTAGAAAATTAAAAATCTCGACCCCGTTGAGCGGAGCGGATCTGTAATTATATTCTGGGGGATTATTGCTCCCCCTTCTCCCCCCAGGTGTAGACACGACCAATTTTAACCCTGAACTTGAGCTGTTTTAGTTCCGTTGAATAGCTACTGATCCTTGCTTTGTGTAAAGTACTTCTTACTGATTTTTCACCTAATGTATGGTCCACTTTACAATCATCTTCTCTTTTGCTCAGTTGTTGCTTTTCCAGCACTGTAAGAGGGGTCTCAGAGAAAGAAATTTGTAGTTTTTGTCTGAGAAGTGGTCTTCTCGTGGCACTAGGGTTCTTCCTTTGTCTCATTCAACTTTCTTCAACGTAACACGGCCTTAATTCTTTTTCTTTATACAGTCCCTCCGTGGACATGCAGTACATCAGACTGGACAGAAAGCATGAAAACAGAGGGATGGTCGAAATGTCCTCAGCCCAACGCTCTGCTGAATGGATTAATCAGAGGAGAGAACGGTGGCTTAGAAGATTACATTGATCGACTGGAAGGCGCAATGTGTTGTTCCCCGCCACCGAAGTACAAAGATGACAAGTTGCGATGTCATCGTTCTGGATACTACCTCAATAATCGGTAACTATTGAAAGACGCAAATATATTTTCGATGAGAAGTATTATGCCCTTGATTGGAGATCTTACTCCGCTGAGACCTTCTTAATAGCATAATTAAATCATTTTTGTTAGTGGAATAGTAATGTTAATGATACGTGGAATACAATATTAAAAAAAGTCGAGAAAGTTATTGTCTATAACTTTGTATAACCCTTAGGAATATCTTCTCTTTATGCCTTGGAATATATTTTTTGGCCGGCTTTAATAGTATTGTATCTATTACTTTCGATTTTAGTTGCATTGTTAAGTGTTTTTTTCTTTTAATACTTGAAGGCTCCTCTTATCCAAACTATAGACTGCACTTTCTATTAGTTTACTGGCGTAATAACTCACGTGATTTGTTGGAACCAATGAGGGTACTAGTAGTATCTCCTTTGCTTTATAAAAGTTGACAGACTGATTTCATCACAAGTGCTACGGTTATCATTGACTTCATTTACTTCAATATTTCTCCACAACCCTCCAACATTCTCAATTTCTTTCTTTTACTCCTTCAGAAATGAGCTACGCATCGAATGCCATTATGGCTCCTTCCTTCAAAGTTTTTACCGCCAGGGGAGTTCACCAGCTACCTTGGATGTTGTCACAACAAGTAACTGCTGCAGGCTTCGTAGCGCCCCATCCTCTTACCATAATTGCTACTTTTATCATATCGGTGACTTTAATAGGCCTGGCTTGGCAAAGTGTGAAGAACATTACTATATAGCAGGTTTACACATTGGAGCTTGTAGACAGCTGTACTGCATTAATCGGATTAAATGCTGCAGAATGAAAACAGGTAGTAGAAAATCCCCAGTTCATTGGCTGACTAACTAGTTTATATTTGACGGGCTAACTGCATGACTGACCGCTGACTGATTCACTCACTGCTTCATTGTCGGACAAACTTGCTCGCTCATTCGCTGATACTCTGATTAACTGACTGACCGTTTGAAAATTTTGACGATGGGAGAAACAGGGAAGGGGGTGGGTGGAGTGAGGGACGAGGAGATGAGGGAAGGACAGCCCAATTGACGAAAGGATGGACAGGCAGACAGACAGACAGATAGACAGACGACAGACAGACAGACAGACAGATAGACACATAGACAGACAAACAGACAGACAGACAGATAGACACACAGAGAGACAGATGGATAGACAGACAAACAGATGGATAGACTGACAGACAGACAAACAGACAGATAGACAGACGACAGACAGACAGATAGACAGACTGACAGAAAACACACAGACAGACAGATAGACAGACAGTTAGACGGAAGACGGAAAGACAGTCGGACAGACGTACAAATAGACGAAGGGATAGACGGACATGTAGCCAGAAAACCAGACGGATGGAAGGAGAGATGAACGAACGGATGGATGTATGAACAGGCGGATGGAAGGATGGAGAGACAGGCGGAAGATGGTAAAATAGACCGACAGATGGACAGATTAACGGACAGACAGACAGATGAACAAAACAACACACATGCAGACGGACAGACAACTGGACCGACAGACAAACAAAGGGACGGAGCGACGGACGTGCAGACAGACGGTTAGACAGATTGACAAAAGAATACCATGCAGACGAACAGATAAACTACTGGATGGACAGACCAAGGAGGGACAAAGGGATAAAAAAAAACAGACGAGTGGACACACGGACAGCCGGACAGACGGACAGATCGAGGTACAGACCGGTGGAGGGACTTAATCCTAAATCTTCTCACTTGTTTCCCTTCTAATTAGATGAACGAGAAGATCGTAATCTTGAGATTAGTCTGAAAGTCAAGTTGTTGGATGAAACATGGAATGCCACTCTAACGAATGCTTCACACATCGATTTTATTCAGCTGGAAGACAAAATGAAAAAGAAAGTAAGCTATGATCAGATTTTTTGGTAAAGTAACGGGACCATAATTTTCTTGGCTTTGAATCTGAGGCCAGAATTTTCGTGTTTATAACATTTGTGAGTAGAGGTGATCAGAGGACGCACTTAGTTGAAACCTTTGAGGTAAGTGGATCCCACATCAATACCTGCTTACTAACACGCTTATTATTACTTTTTTCGCATCATCAGATCACAGATATTTATGACAAGGCTAATAAAAAGCACTATTTGGAAACAATCCTAACACCCACCTTTACGTAAGTTTTAAAATTGAAAAGCGGTGACTGAAAGCTCTTTAATATTTTCTTATAAATCATGTGAATGAACAAAGGGTTTTGTATCAAGATGACAGCCACTAACTGATACGACTGCAATTCTCAGTACCTTGTGCAGGATAGTGTATTTGTATTGTAAGGAGAAGTCATTTCTGGATCAATTTTCGGAGATTGGCGGGTTTAACCATAGTTATGGTTTAACTGTTCTGATGACCAGGACACTTGTCATTCACCAACCAATTCAATTGATAGCCTATGTGTAGCCGCACCCTCACGATGTTTCTCCACAGGGGGGGTGGGTGCGGCTACACGTAGGCTATTCTATTCAGTACTTTTAAATCTACCACCGTTCTACCGCATATTGCTGCTATCTGATTGGCTAAGCCTATTGCTATCTAGTCCGCAATAGATAGCGGGTAAGGTCAGTTGCCCAACAGCGGAGTGCATTTGCAAACAAGATAGAGCAAAAACACGAGCCTGTCTTGTTGTTCATGCTTTAGACCACCGTAGATTTGTACTAAAACAATAATATCAATAATATAATCCGCTCTCGAATTCCATAGTTGGCAAAGCATCCGGCTTTGAGATTCGTGATGAAAAACCTCGTGGGGTACTCAGATTCTTTCTCACCCCCCTCTTTTGACAAACATGACCCTTTATTACCACGATCAGTCTCAGTCGAATTGTTACTGTTCTTAAACACGAAGGCGCGCTATAAAAGGAGCCGTAGGTCCCACTGGACCATTTGTCAATCAACCGTCGTGTGATTTTGAACTCTTAGAGTCAAGTCAGCTTGAGCTACAGCTACTCCAAAGCAGTGAACAGCGGGCGCATTCCTTAAAATTGTTTTATGTCTTCATCACAATACAAAAATTTTTGAGATTTGTATTTCCTTTCTCCGATGAAAACTGTCTTTATTTGTGGCGGTAAATTTGAGATCGAAGTAGGTGGTTCGCATGTTACCTCACGCCACCATGCTGGTGGAAGTAAACAATAGATATCTCATTTGCTCCTTTTGTTCCTCTACCAGCATTTGAATTTGACCCGCACACGTCAACGGTGAGTGACAACTGAGCCTAGGTCTTCCCAGGGAAGACTTCTTTATATAGCGCGCCTTCGTGTTTAAATACTCTAGAGCAAATTGATTCTTCACAGACTATTTTTCTTTTGTTTAGGCCTGGAAGTGTCATAGCAAGTTTCAGTATGATTTTTAATGTTCCTCAGTACGATTTGATCTCTCCGCTTCTGGAGGTTATTAACAAAACAGTTGGACCGAACGAATCCAATTACCTTGGGGATATGGGCATTCATCTTATGGAAGTTAATCCAATCAACGGTAGGTTTAAACTCAAGCGGTCCTATTGTTATATCAAAGAGTCCACTTTGTTCTTTCTTCATCAAATCTTAATAATCCGCCAAGCTTGAGAGTTCCAGGTGGTTTGTATACGTGTTCATCATTCATCGCATATCTGCAACAAACGCAGTTTTAAGCTTAACAACGGAAAAGGAACTAGTTCAAGCCAAAAAGGCCCATTAGGCTTTGACTCGACCCTCTCCCCTCTCCTATACTAAATTATACCCATCTCCACCCCCACTCCCACGATTCCTCATTTTATACACTTGAAACTCTAATAAGTTAAACATTTCTCCTTCGCAGTATATGGCAAATCTTTACAAATGACTGTCACTGTGGCTAACAGCTCAACCTTTCAACTTCAGTGGCAATTTGCTGAGGACGATCCAGAGTATGGGACATTTCAGGGGTATCAAGTCTTGTACAGAAAAATAAGTGAGATAACTGATGAGTTCTTACTGAGTAATGACATTAAGGACAATATTACTCAAGCTTGGTTCTTTGACGCAGAAGAATGCGAGTTATATGAATTTAAAGTCCGCGCCTATTCTTTGGAAGGATACGGCAAACTAAGTGAAGCAGTAAACGGTTCGATTCCATGTAAAGGTAAACAAAATCTTTTTTCCTTATTACTACATGTAATAACATCTGCTAATCAAAATAAAAAAAAAATTTACAAGAAAAAACCTACCAGCCCCTCCCCCCTCCTCCTCCATCCTCCCCTCTCAGAAAAGAAAATACAAGCCAGCTGTCTAAGTTTCGGGAAACGGTTTGGTTTTCTGGATCAACCACTGAGCTGATGCTAGAATTGGAAAAACAAGGGTCGTCTACGCGTGTGTTTGAAGGACGCGCGCGAGGGATAGATTCTTCCTCACGCTTTTTCTTTCATATAAAATTATCACTTTTCAAGTAAGACCTTGCAGTCATGCGTGGAATATTTTCTTCGTACGTTGTATGAAGAGAAACTAACGTGTAAAAACTTTTGCCTTTTCTAGCCATTCAGAATATCACTGCGACCGCGATTACATATTCAACGATGCGTGTTGATTGGAGCCCAGTAAAGGGAAGTCTTTTTACCGCTTATAACGTGACTTACTCCATTACTGAGGCGAGTCTTACCCGGTACCAGGTGGTTGAGCGGAGTAACTCTTGGGTGGATCTTGTAAATCTTCGTGGAATGACACTTTACAGCATGAAAGTGGGTTTGATGTTGGAAGGTGGTTACACTTTATGGAGTGAGGCTGTAATGAGTGCAACTCCTGAAGGAGGTAAGGAACGAATCAATTGGTTACCCGCAAATGTTCATGGGAGCTGTGGAGAGGTGATCAGTAACTGGTATCTTACTGACTCCTCTTAGTTCGATTCTACAGAACCTATATTACATTATCATTATTCTTAGTAGTAGTAATGCTATTGCTGTTATTATTTTACTCCAATTTAACCCCTGCGAAAAATCCAAAAATCTGCCAGGAAATGCTTCAGATTATTCGACGAAAAGAGTCAATGGTATAAAAGCTAAAAAACCATGCCCTGTTGACCAATCAAAACTAAGGAATCGCAATATTTCGTAACTGTTTCTTAATTAATGGTGTATTATCCACGATATGGTGGGATCGAGTCAAAGACGGTTTTTAAAGCAGAGTTTAGGATAAGCATATCCCAAAAACCGTCACCTTCGTATCTCATTACATTGTGTTTTTCTCTCATCAGCTCCAAACGCTCCACCTGGAAACGTGACGTCCTACAACCTCAGTTCAACTTCTATTTACGTCACATGGTCTCCGGTTCAAGGACAGTTCCTGCATGGAATCCTTCGTGCCTACCAAGTGTTCTATCGTAAGGCATCAGATACCATATCGCCTCCGAAGAATATATCCTTTAAAGTTTCATCATTATCCGCACGCATTTCAAATTTAGATAAATTCACGGTGTATTCAGTGTGGGTGAAGGCGGTTACCATAGCAGCTGGTCCTGGGTCTATCATTGTCAACGTTACCACCGGCGAGGATGGTAAGATATTCTTCTTTTGCTTGAAACTTCTACCTAAACTTCGCTTTCGTATTGTAGTTATCGCTGGGAAGCTTGAAAGATTTATTGTAGATTTTTCGAGTTGGTCATGTGCTATCCATATAAACTTTTCCGGTTACCTGACTATCTTCTTTCTTTTTTAAAATGTTTTTGTCTTCCGATCGGGTTTTTTCTATCTTATCAAACTAAACGTGTGGCTTTCTAGATGCTGGAAGTAGTCCTGTTCTTTGCTTACTTCATTTTCTCTTCAATTTCATTTAGTTCCCAGCTTACCTCCTTCCAATTTAACCGCGTTCAACCTGAGCTCCACCGTTATCCGGGTTGTTTGGGAACCTATAGCTACCGAACATATCAACGGCTTGTTGTTGGGTTATCACGTGACTACTCAAAAACTTAGCAGAGTGAAGAGAAGTGTTACTATGGAGACAGTGGATGCCTCATCCTTGTCGGTTGACTTAAGAGGACTTAGCAAGTTTTCTCAGTACAGGATATTGATCAACGGATTCACTAGTAAGGGTGACGGGGCCGCAGCAGAGATCAAAAGCTGGACTGACGAAGATAGTAAGTACGCATTTGTCTTTTTTTAGTTACTATTCTTATTTACTTCGGGAATATGAAATAAGTTAAAATCATTTGGTAACTGGCAGACATCGAGATATCATTGAGGAAGTCTCAATAATCTTATTACTTTTCTGTGCTTACTTAGTGATTGATTGTTGGAGAATAACTGAGAAAATAACGCATGGACTGGTTGGTTGATTGTTTATCTGACTAAATGAATGTCTGAGTGACTGAGGAGAAGTTCTTGTTGACTGTCCTCCTAACTGAATGTTTTTGACTGACTTGCTAACCAATAAAACTCACTAACCAATAAAACTTCGCTCCGACGAAGGGCTAACGCTCGAAACGTCAGCTTTTGTAATCATTACGATGGCCAATTTACCATTTCAACTTTGTTGATATATCCAAATTATTTCGTTACTCCCAATGACGCAGCCCCAAACAGTTTCTTTCAAAACTATCAGCCTTTATTCACTAACCAATGGACCGACTGACTGACTGACGTACTCATGATTACTGGCCAAGCGACTGACTGGCTGACTGGCTGACTGGCTGACGGAGGGATTGACTGATTGGCAGATTGGCTGAGTAGCTGATTGATGATCAACTGATTGACTAACTCATTGACTGTTGAAGTGACTGGCTGGCTGACTTACCGACTGTTGACGTGACTGACTGCCTGACCCGTTGATTAACTGTCCAATCGACCGATTGGCTGACTGACTGATGGAAGGATTGACTGGCAAGCAGACTAATAACTACTTCACTGACTAATTGACTACTTAATTGACTCAATGACCGACTGGCTTACTTACTAACTGAGTATTTGGACACTGCTTAGTTTTGCTTTTTTTTTCTGGCAATTAGTTCCAGAGAGCCCACCGACAAATCTTTCTGCACGGAACAACGGAAGCATGACTGTGGATGTCTACTGGTATCCAGTTACTCAAGAAGGCCGCAATGGAATTATTCTTGGCTATAGCGTTTTATTGTTCGACGCCTGGGGCGGATTTTTACAAAACGCGACGGTTATGAACTCCAGCCACTTATTTTATCAGTTCCACGACCTTGAGGCATGGACCAACTACTCGGTGAAAGTGAAAGCTTTCACATCCAAGGGGACTGGGCCACTTAGCTCCAGTTTTGTTGTACAGACGGCCGAAGACGGTATGTTGCAATACCATGCATTACATTTTAGTTTTACGTTACATCAGACTGGGCCAGTTACTAGTTTTGGCCAGTCATAACACAGTCTACCTTGTATTGTTCGTCTGGGTGCGGAAAGCCACGTGACTCTGATGACGAGTTCCACTAGTTCGTTTACATAAACGTGAATCGATCTCTTCTCGTATTTTTTTTTTAGTTCCTCTCGTCGCTCCAACTAACATAACTGGGCATAACACGAGCTCCACATCTATCCTCGTCGCCTGGCAACCAGTTTCCCCAAAAGAAAAGAACATCCGGGGTATTCTCTATGGTTACAGAGTCTACTATATACCACGTGAAACCTCCCGTCCATCAGTGTTAAAGAACGTAACTGTTGATGTCCCTACCACGGATGCGCAACTTGCAAATCTCAACAAATACACCTTATACCACATACATGTCACAGTGCGTACGAGATGGGACGGACCGAAAAGTGAAACAATCTCTGTTTCTACGGATGAAGGAAGTATGTTTTATACTTTTTTTACATATATATTGAAACAATCTCTATTATGATGCGTAAAAGATAGGAAATATATGTAATCGCTTATTTGGCCAAGTCATAAACTATGCTTTGCTGACTCAGTTATCAGTGTTGTTGTTTTAATGGAAAATGTCTCCCTCCTTAAAAAAAATGAGAGCAGCATAGGTTAGGACATAAAATTTAGAAGTATTTTGAGACAATCTTGGATGGACTGACCAACCGACTGAGTGACTGACTGACTGACTGACTGACCGACTGACTGACTGACTGACTGACTGACTGACTGTCTGACTGACTGACTGACTGACTATCTGACTGTCTGACTGTCTGACTAAATGACTGACCTACTGTCTGACTGTTTGACTGACTGACTGTCTAACTGACTGACTGACTGACTGTCTGACTGACTGACGGACTGTCGGACTGTCTGACTGTCTGACTGACTGACTGACTGACTGTCTGTCTGACTGGTCTACTGACTGATTGTATGACTGCTGATTAAATGGTTGACTGACTGGCTTTATTTTTGTGTTTTTACTTCAATTAGTTTCTTATACTGATCAATTCTAGTTCCAGACAGTCCACCCACCAATGTCTCTGCACACAGTAATATGAGCACAGTTTTGGACGTTGTCTGGTACCCAGTATTTCAAGAGGATCAGAATGGCATTATCCTCGGTTACCAGGTCATCTTGCTCGACTCCTGGGGTGAATTCTTACAAAATGTTACCATTATGAATTCCAACCAGTTATATTGTCAGTTAAAGGACCTAGAACCATGGGTCAACCGCTCGGTCAAAGTGAGCGCGTTCACATCCAAGGGGAATGGGCCGTATAGCTCCAGTGTTAGAGCAACGTTTAACGAAGATGGTAGGTTACTTTACGATTCAACTTTTTTCCACTACTTCATACCGGGCGGGCCAAAAATCTTTGGACAAACAACGTTCATTCACTTAGCCATACTCTCATCTTGCATTACTAAACTTGAACTACAGTCTTTTTCTCTTATCCAGTCCCCCTCGTTGTTCCTGCTAACTTTACTGGACACAACACAAGCTCTACCTCTATCCTCGTTGCCTGGAAACCAATATCCCCCAAAGAAAAGAATATCCGGGGCCTTCACCGAGGTTAGAGTATCTTCTACCTACCACGTGACACTTCGCGACCGTCAGTAGAAATGAGCGTTGCGGTTGATGTTAATGCCACGCATGCGCATCTGACAAATCTTTACAAGTATACTTTGTACGAGATATATGTCACAGTGCGGACGAGATGGAACGGACCGAAAAGTGAGACAATCACTGTTTCTACCGATGAAGGAGGTATGTCGTGTACTGCTTTTCTTTGTGTGGATTACTCCACTCAAAGGATTAGGGCTGTTCTTTAGTGGATGAAGGAGAATTAGAGGCCAAGTAAGCCTTTATTACTGGGTTAGTTTAATGTGGAGCTTTTAATGATAAAACTACATTCTTTCTTGTCTAATGTCCAAACGAAAACGAGTTTGAACGGGCTAAACTAAGATTGTAACCATAGGGAGTTGAGATGGCTGCTGCATGATGAAGTTCTATTGTTGGAGTCCCATGTTACAGAGCAAATGAGCTCATCTTGGCCTGACGTGGGCCATTATGAAAATTCCCAAAGGCGTACTCCTAGCAAACTTCTCGAGAAATCTGACAAGCAGGTGGTGTAATATAAGTTGCTAGAAAAGGTAAAGGGAAACTTTACTTAAATGTAAAGGAATGGGCGATAATCGATCACTTCATGCCATGAAGACCAAGACTATCTCCAGATCTCTGGATAAAGTAACAGAGCTGTCAATAGAATTATACTGCGTTTTTCATCTTTCCAGTACCAGACCTCCCTCCCGCAGACGTAACGGCCAAGCGGCTGGGCAAGACGGACATCAAAGTACGCTGGGGTTTAGTGCCTCCAGGTTTTCGGTGTGGCATCATAACAGGATATAGGATCACTTACAACTCCAGTCAATCAAAAACCAGTTCTATTGACGTCCCAAGTGACGCTTCAGAAGTCATTCTAACGTCACTCGCAAAATTTACCTTCTATTTCGTGTACGTTCAAGCTCATACCATCAAAGGAAATGGCCCGGCTCATTATCTGAAGGTTGCTACTGACATGGGAGGTGGGGAAATGACGTTACTTGATAACTCTTGCTTGAAATTTTAAATGAATGAAATCTTTATGCAGGTTGTCCTTAAAGCAGAGTATAGAATAGTAAACAGTAGTCATTTGAGGGAGTAGACTATTTTTCGTCCTGTTTCTCTTACTAAATGAGTTTCTCAGAACTAAAACCAAAGTTATCTCAGCAACCAGGGAGTAAAGAAAAGAACTCATGCGGCTGCTGAAGCCTGACAGCGGGCTTGTGTTAAATCGCGTCAAGCGAGAGAAAACGACGGTGAAGTTGAATAACTCACAATTGATGATTGGTTTATAAAGTATGACTATTTTCTTAGAGCAATCGTAACGCTTAGTCTACTTTAGTCGAACATTTGCCCCATATCTGGTCCAATGCATCCTTACGAGTAATAATCATAGTTGTTCCTGAGAAAGTCAATAAGGCCAAAGTCTTATATTTTCTCAAGATAAGACTTTTGTCGTCGCCTAGGCTAGGATATTTGAGATTAACTTTTGTCTTTTCATGCTTTTTATTAAGTTCCTAATCAGGGACCCCCAGGCCTTACAGCAGACAATCGGAAGACAACTCACTCAGTCATGATTAGATGGCAGCCATTACCGCCATCAGATGACTACGGAGTCCTAGCTGGGTACCGGGTTCGGTATCAACTGGCGAAACTCGGAGACATAGCTGTCTCGGAAAGTTTTCGGAAGGAGCTGGTAACGAGTCCGGGAACCAATCAAGTTTTATTGGAAAATCTGGAACTGTAAGGGACTTACAGCGTTTGGGTGTCTGCTTTTACTTTTGATGGTCACGGACCAGCAAGTTTCACTTTAGCAGGTTAGAGCTGGAAAAAGTTTGAGTTAAAGGCTGCTGTTAAACTTGTTGTTTTAGTTTTTGTACTTTATCGTTTTTGTACTTTATCGTTTTTGTTGTCGCTCTCAACCTTAGTTTACATTAGTTAGTTACTGTTCTGAGCCATTGTGTGTCAGAAATAAAGACTGATGTGATGTAAGGGGAGACACAATGCCGTAGGTACCTAACGAACAATTAAACGCTGAAAGCCTGATGATTGTTCTTTTACTCAATCTCATAAGGGTATATATGAGAGAACTATTGGTCTCTGTTGAGTATCCATTCATTTATACCAATTCAGAAGGAAAATTCTCTCAAAATAGTGCTGTTTATGTGTTATGAGTTGTATTTTCAATGCATATTCTTTGATTCTTCAGTCATATATGAATGATTATATAAATTGCTTAGTCCGGTCTCCTTGTTTTGACAAGACACCAGTGGGTCCCAGAATATCATCAAAAACTTTTAAACATAATTAGCAACTTTTTCTTTTCTTTTCCATAGAAACATGTCGTTGCAATAAGCGCCTCACAACAAACTGGCGCCAATTGCCGCCTTACGTCAGTGAAAACAATGCGGACCTACCCCTCCCTGATGGAATTCTGTCTTCTCTCATAAGTAAGATGGCAGTCACGTGTTGTCAGTCTTGCGAAACTCACGGAGAGTCGTTCCTCGACTTCAGTCTTGATGGCGACAAGGGAAACTCTAAGAAACCCAGCGATGCAGCTTTGAGGGAAGCCATCTCCGAGAAAACTGAGTTTCATTTTCCTATGCCGGGATCCATGGATCAAGAGAAGTTCGGCGCGGAACATGGGTATTGGCCGTTGGTCCAGACCCCGGGTGTGGCTTACATCGTGAACACTGGAGACAGTTACACGCCGTCAGACGCACTAAATGATACCTTATTTGAGTGCTGGGCAGCTTTGCTTTTAGTTTTTGCGACTTCCCTGCTGGCAGGATTTATTATGTGGATTCTGGTGAGCTTTCATTACAAAAAAACCCTGATATTCATTCTGTAATGGACGAGTCCTACTTACTTGCACTGCGCAAGAGCCTGGTACAAAATATGTTGGTGATGATCCCTGCATCAAGGATCCGATATTTTCTTTGAAGTCGAGTTTTGGTGGGGGTGGGGAGAAGAAGAGGGAAGGGGAAGAGGAAGAAGGAAGGGGAGGATGAAGAGGGAATGGGAAGAGGAAGAGGGAAGGGGAAGAGGAAGAGGGAAGGGGAAAAGGAAGAGGGAAGGGAAAGAGGAAAAGGGAAGTGGAAGAGGAAAAGGGAAGGGGAAGAGGAAAAGGGAGGGGGAAGAGGACAAGGGAAGGGGAAGGGGAAGAGGAAGAGGGAAGGGGAAGAGGAAAAAGGAAGGAGAAGAGGAAGGGGAAGAGGAAGAGGGAAGGGGAAGGGGAAGGGGAAGAGGAAGAGGGAAGGGGAAGAGGAAAAGCGAAGGGGAAGAGGAAGAGGAAGAGGGAAGGGGAAGAGGAAGAGGGAAGGGGAAGAGGAAGAGGAAGAGGGAAGGGGAAGAGGAAGAGGGAAGGGGAAGAGGAAGAGGAAGAGGGAAGGGGAAGAGGAAGAGGGAAGGGGAAGAGGAA